TTATTGGTGTGTATACTCACTTAAACCAAACGTCATGCATCTGCAAGTTTAGCTACTTAATATTTAATGCGCGGTATATTGAAGAGGAATGTAAATGTAAAATACTTTTGCTCAAGACGATGGACTTTGTTACGACAGTTTTCAACGCTATTAGACAATTAAATGAAAAAACTACAAAAAGGGTGGTTTCTTACACGATTAAATGCAATGGATACGTTGCATGTATTTAAAGTCACGCGTTATATTTACTCACACAATTTTGTATGCATTTGTTACCGGTTTTTGTTTTAACTAAAACGTACTGATCCATGGTCAATTCCTCAATAGGTGTTTGTTATTGCTGTTCATGAAACGGTGGTCAATTGTTTGATGAAATAAGAAACAATCATCCTTACCTAGCCGCGATCAATGCAAAAGCCAGGAGTCGGGTAACAACTTACTGCTCGCACGTCTTCCAGAAAACGGTGTCCAAGCAGATTGAAACTAGACAGTTTGCAAACACGGAAGCCGTCCTCTTGAATGTTAAATAAAGATTACACATAACACGTTACCTTCATAACTGAATTCATAAGAGATAGCAAACACAATTAATTACGATTTAGATCGTAAAATAATGAAATACAGCGGTTGGTTTGTAAATTCGCCAAACCCTTTTTTCGACTAAGAGACTGGCCATGCTCATCCTCTGAACTGAATAAAGTACAATATGCATTTAAATATAGTTTTTAAATATAGTTTTGCAGAAGCATCGCTTTTATGTTGATTCACTTGTCTCACCATTGTTCCTTGTATAGACGAAGCACCTCAGGGGCGGATTTAGAGATAATTTCTGAAGGTCTTCCAATGTAAAGCCCGTCAATGTAAACTTTAAAATCTGAGCGTCTTCCGGAAAACCCAGAAGTCGGTCTCAATTTGCCCCTGCACCTCATCTACTTTCAACAATAACCCTCCCCCAACAGACACATACACACCTGGCCAAAAAAAAAAAAATAGATGGTTTATCAATGATCTATTTTACCTATCAACATATTTTGTCGACAATATATCAAATGAGAAAATATATACGTGTGATATGAACAGTATTTCACTTCCAAAAAATAACTAGTTGTGTTCCAAAGACCATCATCATCATAAAGCACTACGCATGAAACAAATTTCTGTAAAAAATCGACAAAATTTATAATGGCAACCTGAATTAATAGCGTATTTTTGCTCATCAGTGCAAAGAAGAGGAAAAACTGTTCGAAAACTGTTCTTTTGAGAAATGGTAGACATAGGTAAAAAATCCACATATATATATATATATATATATATATATATATATATATATATATATATATATATATATATGGTACAATATCTATCCATTGGCCATTTGGGAACAGTTCACCGTTGCAATCAGCTGGCTTACCCTATTTAACTCAGCAAAATAAGTTTTCAAGATACTGTATCATGGTGAGAAAAATCTATCAAAACTAGCCTATAACTTTGACAAGCAAAGTTAGGATGTTGATGTACAATGGATTTCAGTACTTACATATTTATGTTATTTTGGTTAAAAGGAAGTTTACTGCAGCTGCTTGTTTCTGTCTCTACGAGTTGCCTTTTAAAATAGTAACAATAGTGATGAATAGCACACGATGTGGAGTTGGTTAAGCTGATTGCATTCTACGTTTGATATTACTTTTTATCCTAGGTGAAGAAAAAAACTATTTGCAATATTTATTGTAACAGTCTGCTTGGTTCCTTTGTTAATAGAAGACACCAAGGCAGTATGCTGCTACACGAAATATCATCATTGTCAGGACTGCAGCAAGGTAGGTTTTATTTGTAACCTGTCCGTAACCTTAAGTATTTTTAATTTTCAATTCAAGGTGATCAAACGTTGCTTGAACATGAATTGTAAAAAATAAACGGAAAACGAGGGAAAGAATACCAAAAGTTTTCATTTACTTCAGAGTTGGGGTATCTGTGGCAAAAGGGGCTGCAATATCTTTGGCTGTGCATGTGAGGGCGGGTGCAAGGAGAGCTGTAACCCGACTATTTCGTAAGTTCCACCATCTCCTTTCACAAAAAGGGGATTATTATAACATTAAGCTATATGAAATACGGAATAAGAAAAAGTTGTCAAATTTTAAAATGAAATCTTTCATAATACTTTATGATTTTTCTGTACTCGTGCGTGGGTCTTAAGCGCCATTCCAATTTAGGTTTACTGTGTATATGTAAATATACTTTGCCACCTTTGCGAAATATTTTTGAAATATTCTTAGATACAATGAATTTCAGGCCAGTTTATGGTACTTACACCTGTAATGATAGAAGAAGGGATATTCAAGGCCCTGATTCCGGTGCTGCCGGGCATAAAATGCACAGATACAGACAGGTGAGTTTTTTACGCCAATGCCAATATTAAGAATCATTATCTACCTGGGTCCAGGTAGCAGTGTAGAAAATGGTTTTTATTTTCCGTAGTAACAGTAAAGAATAATATAAGAGTACAGAATGCTATTAATTTTATATGGTTGATGTTTTTTATCTACAATACAGAGTAAATTCTCTTTAACACTATTGAGGAATGAAACTTTTAATATAATATACAATACTAAAAAAAAAAGAAAAGAAATATGAGCATATTTTTAGCTCTTGGCTCAAAACAAAAATAAGTAGGCCTATTCATTTATTTTGTGTAGCAGCTTTCAACAATACAATTACTGAAAGCTATGCAGTTTCTTCGAATAGATTTACAACCAAAACCTCCTGCAGGCAAGGGTGAATCTTATTTTCTTTAATTTTTTTCTTCTGTTTTTCCTTAAATTAGCCATGTAACTCAAAATTATTGTGGTAAAAATCCATTGAATGGTTAATCTTGCTATGATAGTCAAAATGGTATAAAAAATAATGATTTTTCTACACTTTAAGAGCAGTTAAAAACTCACGTTCTTCACTTACGTGTAAACAGCCTCATTCACGTTCAGAACACACGCAAGAAGAGATCGTACGTGAGGCTGTATGTCAAAAGTCGTGACGTAGAAGGCAACTACCTACTACGTCACACGTACACGTACACGTTTAACGTCCTGCCGAATCTCTCCAATGTCAAATTGTACAAACAATGGGGATACACTTAATGCAGTTGACATTGTGTCTATTGCAAACGTACATCAAAAGCAAACATTTTTTTCCAAAGATCGATCATCACAATGGACGTTGATCCAAACTCAGATACAGAAAAGCAGTTGTGTGTTTTAAGGACAGAGTATTTTACTCATATTATTATAAAATCATCTTTAGCTTCAGACAATGCTTTGTGGAATCCTACTGGGTCATTTAAAAAGCCACTAAATGTCTATTGATGTGCGACAGATCTATGCGGTAGTGAAACACAAAAGTGATGAGTTGAGGCCATATGAAACTTAAACCGACACTACACGCCCACAATCCCCTCCTTCACTTTTTATTTACTAACGGGAATTTGCTGAAAAATTTCATGATTTCATGCACAGACAAAGAAATCACCCGGGCCCTGTCGCGTCATTCTAGGCAGTCTAATCGTGGTGCAGATATTACGTCAGTCAGCAATCCGAATGGTGCCGCTAGTGACTTCATCTTTTTTCTCAAAGAGGGTGCTTTACAGTGGTCTGAACAATTGGAAGTGAATGTAAAAGTTGGTACTTCATCAATTTTTATTTGATAAACGTGTTGTGATCATACATGTTGGTTTTTAATATGGCACAGGCGTTTTGTGGTCAAGTGATTGAGACTTGTGTCCATATAATAGCTTTCACTCTGTTTAGCCAATCCTTTGTTATAAAACTCGTGATAACGTGTCAACAACAAGATAAATGCGTTTTAACGAGGGTCAATGGCGACCCATGGACTCTGTCCCTTTTGGAGGACTGAAATATCCCAATGCAGTTCGTCGTGATGAAATATCGTTGCTACCAGGAGTCGAATCTGATTTGAAGTCAGGTAATAAAACAGCTAGTCAAGCACTCTCAAACTGGATGTCGAGTAAGATAAAGACCCAAAAAGGGAATTATTTTTTAACTTTATAATGGAAAGCAAGAAACGATTGCTTAATATCGTATATCACAATATCGGGGAAGAGAGAGGCTTAGACATACAGGTACGTATGGATATAGATAACATCCCAAATACCTGAAATGGTTGCTTTGACAAATTACAAACCCAGACAAATTAAAAGATGGATTATTGTAGATCTATTTCACCAATCATCATATCGTGAAAAAAAGAAAAAGCGCGTGTTATATTAATAGCAGTCTTACTTTATAAAACATCGAGTTGTATTCCAAAGACCAGCATCATCATTAAGCACTTCACATGTTACAAACTTTTTTGAAATCGACAAAATGTTGAATGAATAATACTCTTACTTCCAAAAATACCTAATTGTATTCCAAAGACCATCATCATAATTAAGCAAAAAGCATACCAATTTCATTAAAATTGACAAAATGTATGCTGGCAACTTTGATGGCATATTTTTTTACTCATCAATGCAAATTAGGGAAAAATAGTCGAAAACTGTTGCTACTTCTGTAACCGTTTCTCTATCGAGAAATGATATACATAGAGGCAGGTTAAAAAAAACAATGGTTAACTTTTATGCAGGTATTTTTTTCATAAAAACAAGCATTTACATTATGTTCAATGTAAAATATAAAACGCATTCGCGATTCCTACCCGTAATGTTGTCGTTGGGCTCAACTGGCAGATACGTACCATGAAATCCAGAAGTTTTCAAAAAACATTTATGAGGTAAATTTGGCAGCGCTAGAATTATATATATATACTAACACAACATAGTTTAACTCGTTTATGAACCTTGAGCTTCGATACGTCGTTACATTAAAGTTATCGTAATGCAATGTAACATATGTTCGTGTATAAATTCAAGTACTAGAAGATATGACACCTAGTGCATTGTGTAATATCTGTATTCATTCATAGCTTTACTGTGGAGCTTTACTGTGGAGGTGACACATTGTTTTCCTCTTGTGACATTCAGGAAGATGGTTGATGTTTTTGCTGGTCTTGTGATTGCATCATGTTTCATAGTTTTGGTAATAGACGACACTCAGGCGGTGTGTTGCCGCAAAGCCCATGCTGACGGGTTTTGTGCAGATTGTAGCAAGGTAAGCATGCGGTGTAGTTTTGTTGGTGAATATAAACTGGATAGCGGATAACCAGGGTAGTTTCAAGTCTATGTAAGCATGTTATCGAAAAAGAAGCACGGGGCAATGTGTGCCAACTATCAAAGTACAACAATATTTTAATTTAATGCGTAATATTTATTACAACATGGAGAAATGCGTTCATGATCTTTATGACTTCAGACTTGGTGGTACTGTGGAAAGGGAGCTGCAATATATTTGGCTGTGCATGCCAGGGAGGATGTAAAGAAAGTTGCAACCCAACTTTTATGTAAGTTATACCATTCTTTACACAGAAATAATGACCCTCCAAATCACATTTATAGGACAGGATGTGTAATTAAAAGTTAAATATCAAATCTTAAAATTTATCAAAATAAATTCCAGCTCAGTATTTATTTCATTACAATGTAAACATACCCATCTTGTAAGCTTCTCGTTGGAAGGTTTCATTCGGACGTTTTTTAACTGTCCATGAAAACCCCCGACACCATTAAAATATGAGTCCTCTTTCACCGATGCATTTGAGTTGCCAATTAGTGTGCATCTTGATAAAACCTGGTACATGGCTTGTGCCAGATGGCAATTGAGACACGAATGTATTTCTAGGAGAGAAGATCCCGGCTGCATTTGTAAAAATCAAAGAAGGGGCATTCCAGCTAATGTTCCCGCCATTTAAGATGTTGATACAAACAGGTGGGTATTTATCATAATGTCATGCCGAGAAGATATCTCAACTATGAGGAAAGATTTGATGTACCAAGCATATGATTATAGTGATCTAAAAAAAACATCATGAGTCAAAAAGTACAAGGAATACTAGATAAAGCAAGGCAATTGGAACTGTGCATAGTTTAAGTGATACACAGGTCCAGCAGTGGAAGATATTAGAAAGGAAAGTTTGGCGTAGTCAAACGACATTTTATGGCGACAACAATCTCCAGAGCTTTAATCAGCAATATACATTTCACTGCATTATGCAATAACTTAACATGCACCTTATTGCCGTTGCGTTAAAGGGATACATGATTTTTGGAAGTAGTGTTCTACCATCATCTGTTTCTTCTTTGATGTCATCAAAATATGGTGGTAGTTCTTTGAAGTTATATATAATATGATGCAATATCCATTCATTGGCCATCCAGAATAGTTCATCGTTGCATTCAGCTGGATTAACCTTTTTAACTCAGAAAAATACAAGTTTCAAGATATCATGGTGAGACAAATCTGTTAAAACTGACAGATAACTTAAACCAATTCTAATGTAAAGGCTCAATGGATCTCACAAACGTATATATTTATGTTATTTTTGGTTAAAGGAAGTTTGCTTGTGTCGGTTTCTACAAGTAATATTATAACAATGATCGTGATGAATAACGCAAACGGTGTGGTGTTGGTTGAGCTGATTACATCCTACGTTTTATTTCATTTTTTCAAAGGTGAAGAAAATTACTGCCGTGTTTGTAATCTTTGTTGCTACAGTCTGCTTGGTTACTTTGTTAATAGAAGACACCGAAGCAGTATGTTGCCGGAGGAAATATGGTTTTTGTCTGGACTGCAGCAAGGTAATATTTATTTGCAACCTGTCCGTAACCTTAATCAATTTTTTAAATATTTTAAATGAAATGCTATTTAACTTTGCAGTAAATATGAATTGTTAAAATAAACGAAAAAAGGACGAAAAAACTCAAAGTTTCCTTTTATTCCAGAGTTGGCTTTACTGTGGCAAAGGGAGTTGCAATATCTTTGGCTGTGCCTGTGAGGGCGGGTGCAAGGAGAGCTGTAACCCAACTTTTCCGTAAGTTCAATCAGCTCCTTTCTCAAAAAACTGTGATGATTATAACACTACGCTATGTTAAATAAGATTCAATACGAACAAAATAAACGTTATCAAATCTAAACTGAATTTTCATGACAACACATTTTATTATTTATCTGTGATTTTGTTTGGTTCTAAAGCGCCATTCTCGTTATGTTTACTGTGTTTGTCTATATCTATTTCCGCCAAATACTTTAGATTCTGAGATACATTTATTAACAGATATCGTCAGGGTGGCTGCATCTGTAATAGTAGAAGAAGGAATATCAAAGGCCCTGAATCTGGAACTGTCGCTTAAGACATTAGACGGATAGCTACGGACAGGTGAGTTTTTTACTACAATGTAGAATTTATCATTATCTACCTATATCCAGTTTTACATGGGCGTGTCATATATAGAAACGTTAGCATTGTAGATATGGTTTTGATATGATCACTTTTTGTACTGATATGTAGTAATACGGCCTCGATGATAAGCAGATGAATTGTTTAAAATTTAAGTCCTATAAGCCTACAACATTGGTCAAAAAGGTTGTCCCACCCCCATTTCCATGTACTTTTATTTACAAATGATCACCTTACAGCTGTATATTGTTAGAAATAGTGCATTTTATTACGAATACCGTGTCTAACATGATAAATGGTTTAAAAATACAAAATAGTGGTGAAAATATACATATTTTATACCATTTAGTAAAATTTATAAGAGGTACCCCCTCAAATCGACTGTTTCACTGTGACTTCTAAAGATGTGAAGAAATGTTTATAAAATTGAAAAGACGCCATCAAATATCACCAAATTCACACACAATTAGCATTAGGGTGTGCTCGTTAAAGATAACGTGCCTAACAGCGTGTGCGTCTACCGCGTACTGCAATTATCTCCTGTAGACGGCGCGACAAGCCTTCAACACGGGTTACATTTCTGTTTTGTCGGATATTTTCCCATTATTCTTAAACAAGTTGGGGGAGTTGGTCCACGTTTTTATTGGGTTGGTTCTCATTTGCATTGCACACTGCAATACATGTCACAGTTGATTAGTAAGTTTAATATCAGGGCTCAAAGATGGTGGTTCCATCCCTAGACCATTGTGTTTCTTCAAGCACTATTTCAACCTTTTTGACCAATGTTGTATTTCCCGGGCTGCTACGTGTGGTCTACGGCCAAAAAAATGGGGACACTTGGGAGTTCGTGCGTGAGAAGCACGTCCATCGTGCGACTTTTGGAGGACGCAAACAGCATGTAGTAACTTTTCGTCATGATCAACAGCCGCTACGTGCGATCTAGCTACGTCCTAGCCGGACGCAAGGAACTAAGAAACCGTGCGTCCAAAACGTAGTTGGAACCTAGGCTATAGATACACACACTTAGCCCCTTCGTTCCATGCGATTTGTATTTGAACTGTTAAAGCCTTTTTTTCAAATAATGCTTTACATACCAATAACTGTACCAATGCCATGTCCATCGGGTTATGTATTTGCGGTCTAAGAATTACGTAATCATATTACAGTAGGTTCGTTTTTAATACTGTGTGACATCGAAAGCTGGTGCAATTGACCGCCATGCACCACATTTATTTCTTTCCTTTCAGTGATGGGGCTGAAGATGTTCTCAAAAGCCATTTAGGAACCTGCCACTGATGTCATTGTTGAGAAATTATGGGGCAAAATCAATGGAACGGTGTTATATCCTAATATGAAATAGAAAACATTTAATTGGAGAGTATATAATTTTAATTTATTTCCTTTTCTTTTTGTTTTGTTATGTCTTATTATTTCTACTTCGAATTACTCTATGAGCTGAATATCATTCGACAAATAAAGATAAGCAAAAATTGTCGGTGTGTCGTCGCTAAAACCAAACTTTATGCTTAAGCACGTTTATTTAAAATTTATGTTAAACATTTAATGCACACTATTTTTACCTTTGCTCAAAACACACTCCTCCAAAAAGAAACAATTGACTGACGCCAATGCAACATAAATATCTCAAACATAAATAGAATCGCCTGTAGCACCGGCTTGTTTTACATTTTTGTTGTGTCATCTGTTCTTAAGTAAAACAATTCGTGGACAGTCATCACTTGGGTAGAGTAGGAATCTGGATTCATCTGAGAAGACCACATGGTACTAATGCACGATGATTAGGTTTCTGTTCTTTCTGTTCTTATTCACTGGTTTCGTGTCAACCTAGGCTTCTTCACCATCCTTCTTGCTCATCATACTGGTAAAAGTAGTCATACAGTAGTCGTTTTATCCAATGCAGAAACCGTGTCGTTTAAATCGATTATGGATGAGATGTTTGGCAAGACAATTTAATATCGTCACGGTAATCACTGTTTTGTAATCAAGCAGCACGTAACTACCTGCATTTTTAAATAACGGAGACACATTTAATGCAGCCGACATTCTGTCTATTGCAATCATACATCAAAAGCAAACAGCTTATGTAGATCAAAACCCATATAAAAAAGCAGTCGTGTTATTCAAAGACAGAGCTTTTTATCTTTATCATCATAAACTTTATCACCTTTAGCTTTAGACAATGTTTTTTGGAATGTAAGATGGACTTTTGAAAAGTTTATGCCAATTATATTATGGCAACTAAATATCCATTTATGTGTGACAGCTCTACGCGGTAGGTAACAGACACGAGACACAAGTGTCGAGTTGAGGCCATATTAAACTTAGAACGACACTACACGCCCACGCCCCCCTCATTCACATTGTATTTACTAATGGGAATGTGTTAAAACAATTGAATACTTTCTCGCACAGATAACGAAATCACCCCCGTCACGTCACCAGTCATCAATCAGCATGGTGCCACTGTCAGATTGACCTGTTTCTTTCTTAAGAAAGAATTCCCAAAGATAATGTTTAACAATGGTCTGAGTAATTAGAAGTGGGTGTAAATGATAGTACTTCATCTTTTTGATAAATATGTTGTGGACATAGGTGGACATAGTCAACCTCTTTCAAACTGGATGTCGGGCAAGAGAAAGTCCCGAGAACGAACTTGTATCATGCAGAATTGTACCCCCTGTATATAATACCTCTTAATAGAAAGCTACTGCAGGAAAAGGTTATTTGGAATCGTATCGCAATTGTGGGTTGTCAGTGGTATGGTGTTTGGAAAAGCATGTTATCATGTAAGAAAGAGAAAGACTAAAATTAAAATTTAGAATTAAAACTGGGAACCACCAGAGGATAAACATTTTAAATGGCAACTTACTACAAGTAATGGAGTTCCGAAAATTTCCATATTCGATTTAAAACAGACATGTTTCGCAATAGCAATTCACACCGGTGGGAACTGCTTATAGGTGTGTATAACAAACCCACGAATGCTAATCCTTGCCAAACTTGCTCTTTAAGTCACATTTGCAATTTAATGTACCAATGTGTTGGGTAACTACAGTCGGTGCCCCTTCCCCTGCATGCTTAACAACGATATTGTCCAACTCGCTTTCCAACAATGACTTTAGAGGGAAGTTTGAAGTAGATGATAATGCAGATTTAGTCATACTTATGTATTGTGAAACCTTACACTAATACAGTATATGATAACATTTAGCTATTTATAATTATTTATTCAAGTAGACACACTTAGCATAAGTCCTCATCCAAATGGATGGAAAGAAACTGATACTTGATGTCTTCACCAGTCCCTTATGCGGCATCAGTAAATCCAATGTCATTTATGAATCCATTCCTGCTAAATAGAATTGAAGTTGATTACTTCAAGCGATATGTGAAATGACGAAACACAAAATGATGAAATTAGTATTCAGTACAATGTGGATGTTAAATTTATATAGTTTATTTTAATACAAATGGAATGAATGACCACTGATAATTTCAGGTGCCA